TAAAACCCGTATGAGCAGTCTAGAGTACTTATCATTCCTGCTTCCTGTCTAGCCCAGCCAGTTAAGTCCGGAACATCAATCTCAGCCTCTGCAAAATGAATCATTTATTTCAAACATACTCGGTTTATATACCAACCAAACAGATTACATCGTACCAATAAAATAGGAAACAACATTTTTACAAGATTAGGCCGAATGTGGTTGTGAATAACGGAGATAGTAATTAATAGACAGGATATAATTCAAGAATGGTAAATCGTATAATAATAGTTCATAGGTCAAAATAAAACTCATAATAAGAGGGACATGAATAAGAATAGTTTCGTTATTTAATAATTATACAATAGAAATGTACGTATACTATTGATCCATAAATGAATTCCAAAAGTTACTACTATTCATTATGCTTATCAAGACATAACAGAACCATTCAAAATCATAAAATGAGAGAAAATTGAACAATTGTTTGTACCTTGTTTGTAATTCTTTAACAATTTAGAACTAAAGTTTTGTACTTGATTAAATAATATTAAAGTACTATTACAGACTGGTCCACCAGGGCTCTTGGTACCTGTGTGGTTGCGCCACAGGATTGAGCCGTACTATTCAGATTTTAACGTTAAAGCCTGTACGGTGTCTGGTTCCCCTGCTAAATGGGGTTGAGCTGTACTGTTTGGGTTTTTACGTGAAAGTTCGGATGGTGTCTGATTCTCCTGAAAACCAATGTAAAATTACCCTGGCCCACAAGGGTATATTATATTACTGTGAACTGATATTACTATTACAGACATAATAACATTTCATTTCTTACTTAGATATAATAGTCTATATAGTATATTTTAAATTAATTTGCTATACAATTGACCTATTAAAAAATTGCATTCTATAGGCAACTTCATTATTCCTAGAGTGTTTGAATTTATTGAGATTGATTTCTTATTTCACCTACCAAGAATTTATCTTTGAAACACATCATTAGTGAATGATATGTAAATCATTATTTTCAAGGAAACCTTGAAAGAATACTTCTTTTGTTTTTTTTTTAAATTCGATTTTCTTTGGCCTAAAAACATCCGTTTGAAATAAAGAGTGATTTTATTTTAACCAAGTAGACTTAAACTTTGCATTATATACTTTATATCTTTCCTTTGTTATGACTTACCTTTAACCTGTCTAGTTGACCTTTTAATTTTCATATATAAATGTTCTTAACAACTATATATGTGTGATCAGATTGTTCGAAATGTATTCCGCAAATATATCACATAAATCTGATAAACTTTGTCTTCTCATCATTACATTATTGAAATTTACATCTAGATTGTATATCAAATGAGTTACTAATGAAAACCTACAATAACTAACCTGATATTTAATCTTAACAATGATATAAAGATCAGTGAATTCTTTTTTGTAGAATCAGTAGATAGAATAATTTGTAACTTTTTTGAATAGTTACATTCATTGAAACTTTATGTCCATTTTAGCAAAAGATTACAATTGAACTCTAAGAAAACAATTGATTTAATCTATACAAAACGGAATATAATAAATTCTTTTTAAGAAATATCTATTTTGTCTAATCTTTAATCAGAAGGGGTTTGTGGAGATTTAAGAAATTTTCACAGATTTAAATCATGAGTCAGTTGAAGCTAGACCACCATTAAAAACCTGGAAGCACTGGACGGCCGTTTCGTCCTAGTATGGGACTCCTCAGCAGTGCGCATCCACAATTATTGCCTTGACAACTATCTCATTATTCATTAATTAACATAAAATTGTATCTCACGACATACTGTCTCATGAATTAACATTTTGTTTTTATTCACAAGACTAAAACTACTTCATATTATAGGGAAATCTCATGAAATTAGTTCAAATAGTTCAGTAGTTATGTAACAAAAATTCATAAATATTAAATATTGATTAAGAATACCAACTGATTATTCATAATTATAAGAAAGAAAGTATTAGTAAGAAGAATTTATCAATTTCTATTCACTTTACTATCGTCAGAAATACAAAGTAAACAAGGTGTAAAGAGTAGAATTTATGCAGTACGAACCATGTGTGGACTAAAATTCTTTCTTTTTTTTTCTTCATTTTTCCTATCGTTGCTATCATAAAGTAATGAGTTTGAAACTTATGTAAAAAATTGTTGCCTAATTCATTCGTGGGAAAGCTGACGTTTTTTTTAATGTCTATTATAAACAATATACGAGTTGAAATGACACTTTCAAAATTAAGAGCAAATTAATTCTTATTTTATAAAATGTTATCTGATCATTTTTAAAATCAAATACTTTATGTTTTACATAGATTTTTATGAATGATCTAGATACTTATCAAATGAATCAAAATAATAAGGTACATTTTTAAACATTGTATATATTATAAGCAAAGATGGATAGTGTCTAGTAGTGGAGTCCAGAACGCGTGTTTCATCCTACTGGAGACTCGTCAGCTGGATGTGCCTGCAAGTGGCTATTAGGAATCAGTAGCTAAGTGGATAACCCGATGGTGTTTGAAGAGAACGATCGTGGGTTCGAGTCCCAGAGTGAACATCAACTCAGATGTAGGTAGATCCAACTGACGAGTCCCAAATAGAACAAACCGTGAGTCCTAGATCCCACTGCTAGCCACTATCCATCTTTGCCTATAATGTTTGTGACGGAAGACAATATCGAAGTAAATCGCACAGGATACACATATACCAATAAGAGACTGATTAATTTCAGTCGTAATCATCAATTGAAAGATTCAGGTAAGCAATACCAAGCGAATTGTATATGCTGACAGACGTGAATTGAATAAACTGGAGATCAACATTTAAATTTATTGACCAATAGGATGGGAAGTTTAAACTTCAAACTTTGATCCATGGTACAACCAAAACAAAGAAGTAAACAATGACAAATTTAAGGTCAATAAGAACCAGTCAACATCGAGGTGTACAGAACAAGCTGTAAAACACATATGCAGAAATTCGAACACTTCACTTCTATCTGAAGTTTGTGCTGATGATGTCGTTCAGAAGAACGATGAAGCTCCACGACCAAACCATCCAGCTCAGAGGACAAAACTCCATCAAAATGATATAATTATTCTCACAGGGCAATTTATTTTGGCGTCACAGTAATCAATGCATAATATTAAACTATGTAGTCGCTTTCGTTTGATTTAAGCCAAAAAACATACACAGTTTATCTTTGTGTAATGAACAGTCATTGACAGTTACAGATCAGGCGTTATCACTCGATATACTTTTGTTTCCGTGAAAGTAAGGCACTCCAAGCGTGTGTGTTCTCAACTTATGTGCTGTTAGTGTAAATTCATTCCTAAAATATTAGAAGCCAATCAACTCTAAAGTAAATAGACAGTTTTAAAATACATTTCTGTTCAGAAATCTTTTAAAATAAATCATCTGATGGCCAAACTATAACTTTTGGACAAACCAATCATATCTGAGACAACGGGTCTTAGATTTTAACGCGGAATTCATCCACTTATTTGACTAAATACTATTTCGGCATTAAATCTGTTGTCAATTTGTGATGAAAACTCTAAATCTAATTTCTAACCCAAACCATCAACTGTAAAGATAATTCTAATTTCTGTCACTGCTTTATAGCCCTCATTTAGTCCTTGTTAGCAGGTTGACATTTTCATGGTCACCATATCGTTGCTTAAAGGTCACCCATAAATTATAGTCTTGCTATAGAAGTCAGTGTATCAAATTCCACTGAAACTCTCAACATTGTTCGTTCCCTAAACAGACTGTTAAAGTTATTTTCTATCAGATTATTATTAATTAGCGAAGATGTAATAGTTTTTATGCAAATTGTAAAAGATTTGTTGAAAAATGTTAGTAACATTATCATACCTTATGTTTATATAGTTCCACCTTAAAATATTTGATTTTACTGGTAAGCCATAATATTTTTAGGCAGTTCTTGTGCATATAGGACAGTTTGAAAACACGAATATTTATCTCAAACTCAGGATGGTGCGACATTGACGTATCACGGGTTTGGGGCATAAAAGTTTTTCCAATAAAGAAACAGTATATCTGCCAACAACATTTCTAATTAACGGGATAACGTAGTAGAATGAAATTTCAACTATATTTATATTGAAACACATTTTAAAAGCAGATAATGACGCCAATAATGCAAAAAACTACTGTTTCTTGTCATAATCATTTAACAAAATGGATGTTTTCGCTTCCAAACTATTTACATAGAATCAGCATATCTTTTGATTTAATTTAGTTTGTTAATATTTTTTTTCTGAAATAATTAAACGTTAGCTCATCTAGTTGGCGTCTAACCGTTCAGTAAAATATTCCAATAAGAACAAATTCACTTATTTTTGGTACTTGTTTTCGTCTAGCAAAAATGTGTCTTCGTCATACTGAAAAGAAAACAGATTACTATGAACACAAAATGAATTTTCCGAAACGAGTTCAGAGAATTTTCATTTTATTTAAAAGTTAAAAGTTAATTATCATTTGTAAGAGGGTTTGGGGAGATTTTAGTAATTTTATAGTTGAATTCATGACAATGTGAATCCTAGAAGCACTGGAGGGTCGTTTCATTCTAGTATGGGACTGAAGACAATTGTGAATGATGAAGAAATTTCATGGATTGGTTGAAATTAAATAATAACACCGGTGGATACCAGCTCAGTGGTCTAGAGATTAAGCGTTCGCGTGCAAAATCGATAGATCCAGGGTTCAGATTTTGCGGTGCGGGATCGTGGATGCGCACTGCTGAAGAGTCCCATCTCGTGACAAAACGGTCGTCTAGTGCTTTAAGGTTTTCTATGATGGTCTAGCTTTAATTGACTCATGAATTCAACTGTATAGTTTATTATCACTCATAAATTCATTTGATAAATTCAATGTTTTAATATGAAAATATTTATTCTTAATTGAATATGACATTGATTTGGAGTTTTCTACGCTATTATTTAAATACTTTTTTTTTCTCCATTATTAGAACATGTAATACCATCATCGGAGAAACGTTTAATTAAACAACTAATTGATAATTATGAAAAAGCTGGTAAAATTGGACGCCCAGTAAAAAATACTAAAGATCGTGTAGTTGTTGGTTATGGATTGTCATTATTTCAATTATTAGATTTAGATGAGAAAAATCAAATATTGACAATAAATGTTTGGGCAAAATATGTAAGTTAAAAAAGAAAGAGTATTTTGTTTTATCTATTTTCAAGGATTTATTTTCGGATTCTTGTTTTTTTGTTTTAATGATTAATGGTTATCTTAATGTTATCAACAATTATCCTTAGAAAAAAAAGAGGAAGAGTGGTTTTTCTCTAAATGTATATATAACAATTAATATCCTGGCAATACAAAACAGAAAAACGTTGAATTAAAAACGTTTTCATAAGATAAAAAAGTAACTAAAAGATTCAATCTGTTATCTTCTACCTAAACTTTGTGCTGATGATGTTGTTCAGAATAACGGCAAAAGCTCCATGACCAAATCATTCAGCCCAGTGAATAAAACACCTAAATCATTCACCTGATCTACAAAGTCTTTTCTACCATCTTAATGTATCATCAGAAAATAAGTGCCAAAGTATGACAAGCATAAAAAAGTACTAGATAGTTTAAAACGATATACATAAAGATTTCATTTCTTGTAAATAGTATTTTCTATGATTTTTAATCAAAATATAACTAAATTCATACATTACGATGAGTGCTACTTATATCGGTCGATATAAGTAGTATGTGTCATTAATCGAAAGTGAAATACCTGACTTCAGAAGGTTAAGAAGATCGGAGGAAAGAAAAAAATTACAAAGAATGATTAGTGGGGAACCGAAAGAATTGTGAAGTCTGAGACAATTGACTGATATTTTGTAAATGATGTATTTACTGTATAGTTCTCAGATTTTACTAAAACATTTTGTAATTTTGTGTTCAATCACATTCGATTGTTATAAAAAAAATCGTTTTGTGGAGATTATAGTAATTTAATAATCGAATTCTAGAGTCAATTAAAATAAGACCATCATGGAAAACATGGAAGCACTAGACGGTCAGTTCATCTTCGATTGTTCCTATTTTATGTTCTCGTTCACTACAACACTAACCATACATCGTCAATAATAATCCAATTTAATCCTTAAACATGTAACTTATTAATGATATTCATATTAGATTGAATGAAATTTCTTCAAAATTATATGTTTTATACAAACTATTCACTGATTAAAGTAAAGATAAGTTAAATCTAACCAAGTTAAGTTTATTTGTCTTTCATTGAGATTATAATGCGATAAATGATGGATCACTACTGAAAATCTCGAAGCACTGGATGGCTATCTCATTCTAGTATGGGACTCCCCAGTTTTATTTAAGTGTTAATCTATACAATAAAATCATTCTATTTTCAATATTTAATCAGCTGAAATAATATTGAATAATGAATAATAATTTATTATTATTAATTTCACTGAATACTTTCAATATATGCATCAATGATTATTGTATTCAATCAAATAATGATCAATAAAAGTATAAAATAATGAAGCGTAAAAACAACATATTATGGAAGGATACATACATTTGATCTGTTCACTTTATGTTGATATAAGACCGTTGAAGAAAAATTTAATTCATTTGATATTCTATATTAAATCGATATAATGTATATATCTACTTCATTGTACAATAGTCATTTGTTCATAAAATCCCTTTTTATGGATACCGCTAAGTACTATCATGATTAGTAAAGATTTAAATAGTCCGGGTTTTAAAAAATGTTTATTATTACAAATTGGGGATTTATTGGATATCAACAAAAGAAAAACTACAAAACCCTATTAATAACATTAGATCTATTAAACTGATTGTTGGTTATTTGAATTCAATAGCACAGTTTAGAATGCAATGCAATGCATTTAAGTTGAAATATATTAGGTTTGAGTCTCGGTGTGTACATCAACAAAAATAAGTACATCCAGATAATTAGTCCTAAATAATATGATATGAGCACCTTAGATTCCTCTGCTATCTGAAATTCGTCTAATCTATGAAACTAGTAGTAGTATACAATGTATTTTCTTAAACGGTAATCATCCCTAAAATATAATAGATTAAGTTCATTAGTGTTTCATTGAGATTATGATGCGATAAATGTTGGATCACTACTGAAAAGCTCGAAGCACTGGATGACCATCTCATTCTAGTATGGGACTCTCCAGTAGTGCGCACTCACAATCCTGAACAATGAACTCGAAAACAGGACATTCCGTCAGGCGAGTAAACGCTTAAGAAACGGCCGTCTAGTGCTTCAAAGTTTTCAATGGTGATCTAATATAGATCGGTTTATGATCTCAATGAAATTCTACCATCTTCACAACTATATACTGATTATCTGTATTTTTATTTAGGCTTTACTGATAATGTTTTCTATATGAATAATCAAACTTCCCAAGCACAATATCATCAAAATGCATAAACATATATTTACATATAATTCACATTTAAACATTAAAAGCACAAAATTGAACAAAGAAATCTCTTTTCCAAGAAATCATTATTAGGCTGTACAATCGTACACATACTATGTAAGTATTAACTCTGTGAAAACAACAATAAATGATTATGATGATGCAATAGAAAGACAACACCAATGCTAGAGTTCATGGTGTAAATAATAACAATAAAAGACTGTGAGAATGTAAATAAAAAGCGCTTAAACTTAATGAGCTGACAATGAATTATAATGTGAATGGAGTAAGCAAATCAAAATACTTTTATAATAATAATTAAAGGCACTAAAGGATATAAATTTATGTGATTAGGAAACGACATATACTGTGGTGTGTGCTACTGATATCGACAGATACAAGTGGTATGTATCATCAGTTGAAAGTGAAATGCCTGGGTGCAGAAGGTTAACAAGATCGCAGAAAAGAGAACGATTACAAAGAATGATTGGTGGGGAAACGAAAGGACAATGAAGTCTGAGACGATTGATTGACATTTTGCAAATGAAGAACTCACTGTATGGTTCTCAAATTTTGCTAAGATGCCTTGTAATTTTGTCTTTGTTTCTATTTAATAACAGAGGATGCGTTCGATACGTATACCTATTAACAATGTAATTTCTATTAAATGAGTAATTTAAATGATTCGATTGCACCTTGGATTATTTCAATTAAGCAATAAAGGTAAATCAAGCCACTGTAGTCAACTAATAATGAATTTATAACAACTTATCAACTATTCAATCTCAATATTAGTAATTCATTACCAGAAATAATTCCAATTATAAGACAAATATTATTTTCATTACTATTCTATCCGTGATGAAAAACTATGAAATTCACCAATGTTTACATATTTTAAAACATCATCTAGTGCTTATTAATGACTAGCGTATGGAAGTAATTTCCCTAGTTATAAGAAATAGCTGGGATCAGTGGTGTCTTAACGTGTACAGAACGAAAGATATATCAACAATGGTGAAGCAATATCTCGAATCAACTGAAATTACCTAATTAAACTACTGAGTCATAACTCAGTAATTTTAGAATTAGGCGCTAGCCTCAAGGTTTGATTGTCCTGTTTCCGATTGTTGACAGGATTTTACATGCATGCTCTCAAAGATTCTGATTCTGAAATAAAACCCTATCCGAAATCAATATTATAAGTATTCCTTGACTGACTCATTTGAATTAATTAAATACTTAAAGGACATAAATATGAAGACAAAGACAATGTGCTCCTTTGATGTGTACACTTTATTTACAAATGTACCTCTCAGGAAAGCTATTGATATTTTGTGTGACTATATCCCTTTAAATAACCTTCCACTGCTATTTCCTGTTAACACTCTTAAAGATTTATTATTATTGTTTACTGATAATGTTAAATTCACTTTTGAAGGTGATCACTTCCTACAAATAGATGATGTAGTTATGGGTAGCCCTTTAGGACCATTACTGGCTGATGTGTTCAGTTGAAGACTCAATTCGAAAGATGGGTCTGTATAAACGCTATGTTGATGATATATTACTCATAGGGGATAAGGGTGAAGACATAAACCGCTTGTTAAAAGAATTCAATAGAAGCCAAAAGAGCATTTATCTTACATGTGAAGAAGAGAAGAACAACCAACTTCCTTTTCTAGACATCCTGATTAGTAGGGGAGCTAATGGTTCCATCCAACAATCTACATATAGAAAGCCAACATGGACAGTGTAATATCTTAATTTTCATAGTCACTGTCCTATTTATTACAAACGTGGTTTAATAAAGAGATTATTTAATATAATCAATCGTACTTGTACTAGTGATACTATTGAAGTGGAGACGAAGCTCTTGACTGAGACTTTAATGAAAAATGGTTATTCTTTGAAGTTCATAAACCGCTGGAAGGGTTGCAATACGACTAGATTTATGACGCTTCTGGCACACAAAAAAGGCGAGTTTATATCACGTTACCATTCAGATGAGACACAAATAGTCTCATATTGAAACGGAGACTTAAATTAGCTATCAACCGAACATCTTATGCAGCCCAACTTGTCATTATCGAAAAGACAAAGTCTATGTTTCATCAAAATCCCAAACAGCACGAAAGCAATTGTGTCACATCCCACTGTGTCTATCAATTTACATGTATGTGTAGAAGCACGTACATAGGGAGGAGCAATCGTGATTTGCAATTAAGGGTGGGTGAACACATACAAAAATGGTTGCAAAAACAAATGAACTCCAATGGTCAAATAAAATCACAGGATAGACAGACATCATCATCCATTGCGAAACATTTGATTGAGACTGGTCATAAGGTTGGCAATGAAGTCAGCATTTGTAGTGTTATACAAAAGCCTTCAAGGATATATACTAAGGTTTATTGAAGCCTTGGCTATATGGAAATCGAAACCCCCTTTATGCGTTCAAAAACAATTTGTCCTTACACTTAACCTACGCTGGTAATACTGACTTATTATCCAGAGTGGTAATCATATTGATTTTGTGTACTTTAATATTATTTTTTTAAACAGTTGAGATCATGAGTCAGTTGAAGCTAGACCACCATGGAAAACCTGGAAGCACTGAACGGCTATTTCATCTTAGTATGGGACTCCTCAGCAGTGCGCATCCACGACCCCGCCTTGCGGGATTTGAACCCAGGGCCCATCAGCCGCGCCAAGCGCTTAACCAACTAGACCACTGAGCCGGCATCCAACGGTGTTAATGTCTAACTTCAACTAATCCACGAAATTGAGTGACACATCCATCATTGTCATCAGTGTGTTACTACCTCACAACTGACCCGGTTGAACTCCACTGGTCACTGCTTCTCACTAGAACTCCAGGATATATGTCTTGAAGCCAGTCACTAGTGAGCATATGTTGATTAGTATCAGAAGGGTTTTTGTAGAGATTATAGTAATTTAAACAGTTGAAATCATGAGTCTTACCTTTAACCTGTCTAGCTGACCTTTAATTTTCTTATAAACATCTCTTAACAAGTTTATGTGTGATCAGACTTTTCGAAATGTATTTCGCAAAGATATCACATAATTCTGATAAACTTCGTCTTCTCATTGCAATATTAAAATAAAACAACTATTTAATTCCTCGTGACTTCACTAATTGTCCAATCAAATTCATGTCGTGTTGTTGAAATTTAAATTGAATAATCACAACTACACCGCATAATATCAATAACTTTTTTAACAGCGACAAGTGTCTATTTAATAAAGATGTCATATATACTTTGAAAAGTGAATGGTAGCTTGAGTATGATTGAAATTTTCCTTAAGTTATGATCTACTGAAATAATCAAGATATATGTTTTCGAAGTGTATGATTTTCGAACTATTTTGCATTGTCAGAGCTGAATGATCAGTTCATAAATATGTCACTCTCATACTGGAGAGGACTATTTAAGCCTACTTCAATAAAAATTAGGTGTCTTCGAAATATTGCTCGTATATCCTAGGACCATCAAGTAACTAATGCAGTTGTTAGGAAACGGGTACTAGGTAAGAATGGCAAATCAATTGATGAAGTGGTGAAACTTCATCAGTTGAGATGGCTGGGCATGTGTTACGTATGCCCAACGACCGACTGCCTCGACGTGCGATGTTCAGTGGTATAGGAGTAGATTGGAAGGAAGCTAGGGGCGGCCAGACCAAAACATGGCACAAATCCATGAAGTCACTGACAAGTGGTCTGAGTCATGTTGGTAGGTGTAGACTACCTGGTTGGGGACCGGGAGATGATGGCAATCGATGGTTAGAGACCCTGAATGACATGGCTCAAAATCGTTTGCAATGGCGCAGGTGCATCCATTCTTTGTGTTCTCCCAAATTTTGATCTCCTTATTCCTCCTTGTATCTTTTCTTCTGCTCCCAAATTTAGTTCACTGTATTATATTCTTTAAGTAACATCTCCAGAAACTAATCTTCCCGATTACTGCTTATACTCTTATTACCTCTACCACTACGGGATTTGAATCGACCACGGCATCTCTGTGCTAATGTGGTGTGGCAACTGGAACTGATGTACGTATGTACGAAGTTCTACGTTGTTACTGATTGACTGACTTCAATAAAATTGCTTTCTTAAGAACTAGACACAGATACATTTACAAGAATAACAAAATTCTTCTAGTTCACAAAATACAACACAAAGAAACGTATAATATATCCGCATAGCAAGTCTCCGAAAATTGAGTAAAATATGTCAACCGAAATAACGATCAATTTACTTAATCCCTTACACTATCAAAACCTGATAAAATTTCATCTCTAATACAGAAGTTAATTAGTTACACTCATCATATCCTCTCGTTTTGTTAAGGCAATTATTATTGTTGAAGAATGATTTTATTTATCTTTTGTTTGTAAAATTTGTTTTCTGTAAAAAAAAAGTCACTAAGGTTACTTCAAAGAAAAAAAAACCCCACAACATACAATCTACGCTGTAAATTAATCACATTCATACTCCTATAACATTGAATTCTTCTTCCTTTGATTCATTTAAATTGAAAATAACATCTATTTAATTAAATATGGTAACATTATAAGTATCCTATTCATAGGTAATATATACAATTTCTATTTTGAATCGATCTTATATTTGTTTAACATGATGGTTACTAAAGTAACGTTTTATTTATAAGTTTTGAAATAATATAGTTGTTTAAATTAAACAAAAAAAGAAGTATAAAAATGATATCCGGTTAATAAAAACAAATGAATAAAAATAAAATTTATAGTCTACGGTATACATTCTATATAGAACAAATAATACAGTGTTAAAACTTGTATAAATGATAAATTTAATATGTTTGTTCTTGGTAAAAAAAACAACTATATACTGTAAGAAAGCAGATATCTAATGTATACATATACATACATATATAGTATCAACTTATTTCTTATTAGCATTAATGATTAAATCTTGTATACTGTATTTATTGATATTTGTTGGTAAATTTAAAAATTTCAATAGTTGAAATCCTAAGTCGATTGAAACTAGACCACCCTAGAAAACCTGGAAGCACTGGACAGCTGTTTCGTCCTGGTATGGGACTCCTCAGCAGTTCGCATCCTCGATCCCAGCACCCATGAGATTCCAATCCAGGACCAATCAGTCTTGTGCGCGAGCGCTTGACAATTAAACCACTGAATCGGCATTCAACGGTGTTAATTATCTTTTATACTGTTTACTCCCTGAGAATTCTATATTGTACCAAAATATAATATTGAATAAAGCCATTAATAATAATAATAATAATAATTAAACAAAATGAAACTGAATCAATAAAACTGATTAATGTTGTTAATCATATGAATAAGATAAATTGTTTCCGAATATTGTTTTATATTATAAACATATGTATATTTTTTCATATCATAATGCTTAGAAAAAGTAATAAAATATGATTTACATTAGAATATTATTACCATTGTCACTTTATCCAGTAAACAGTATGTCTACTTAATGATAGCCAATATTGTACTGGACGAGAACACATACGGGGATAATCGAATTTATTAAAACACAAAATTACAAAATCTCTTAGTAAAATTTGAGAATCATACAGTAAATACTTAATTTGCAAAATGTTAATCATCTGTCTTAAACATGACTGTTCTTTTAAAAATGTCAATCAATCGTCTCAGCCTTCACTATCCCCTCATTTCCCTGCCAATAACTTTTTGTTCCTGTTAATTTCTTGTCAATCTTCCCGACTTTTTGCTATTCAAAGTTTGTAAAAAATTTGTTTGTTTTGCAATATTTCATTTTGAAATGTTATTGCTTAAGTTACTACATGTTAAATGATTGAGTCTATTTGATAAGACATTTTAAACTGACAAAAGTTATCTATGATATGAATAGGTCAGTGATAATGTTTGTTACTATAATATGTTTTGATAATGAATTAATATTTTAAGAAATGTAAATATCCCATTTTAGTAATTAATAATCTACACTAAAACTACTGATTTAGAATCAGTTATATAACTCTGTTTGAAATTATATGGCATCAAATCAAATCTACCAAAGTTACCATGTATCTAAATGTAGTGACAAATTCAAAGTAATTCAATCATTAGTGATTTATTACAATCAGTTATATCATTTTAGTCAATAGTGTATCATGGATTGCTTATTAAAACCATTTAAGAAATTTTGTATTTTTTCATCATCATTGTTTAAGATGTTGAATTCAAAAAGCCTATAGAAATAAAAATCAATATTTATGCTATAATTGTTTTAATCATCTATCAACATATGATTGTGTTTATAATTATTCTTCGACTGTATTTTTTATCAAAATCATCATTGTAACTTGATCGATAGAATGTAATTAACACTAAGTAGAATTCCATATCCATGATATTGGTCACTACTTAGTGATCGATCATGTGTAGATACATCATAGTCCTATAGGTCAGTCGTGTTCTAAATAGCTAAATGATAACTTCTGACTGTAAAGCTGGGTGACACAACATTGAATCCTTCACAAAGGATTAGTTCTCTCAAGATTATAGGTACACTTTGCTAGTGCTAAATAACATAAAACTGACACTAAACAAGGGCTCATGAATTATATATATATATATATATATATATATATATATATATATATATATATATATATATATATATATATATATATATATATATATATATATATATATATATATATATATTACATTTATCATATATTTATAATTTTCAGACATGGATTGACCAATTACTTCGTTGGGATCCAGCTAATTATTCAAATATACGTGAAGTACGAATTCCACCAAGTGTGATATGGACACCAGACATTGTACTTTATAATTAGTAAGTAAAATAAATCATATTCTTATGAAATGTAATTATTTATTTAGTAGTTATTATATTTAAAGCATTTATATTCTTAAAACAATCGATCTAAGTAGAATGTCTTTATATTTATATCTGATTTCGAAGGATCATTATTTCTGTCATTTCTATTGTATCCATAAATACTTCTAAGCAATATGTAACAACAAGTAAGTTTGTAATAATGTTATTTTTTAACTTGAAAGTAATATTGATTAGTCACTGATATATCACTTGGAAAAACTGTTGAAAAATATGTACTCTGAATTGAATTTCCAACAACATACCAATATGAAAACATACAACATCAGCAAAATCTAATGATAATCGGCTTTTATCACAACAATATTTGATTATGACTATAAAACGATGGGGAGTTTTTTTTCCCATCAACAAAAGACTTGACCAGTAGTCTTTAGTTTCCAGTGATTCTATATCTAATGGAAGTCTTTCGGAAACAAAATCTCATATAGTCAAATAACATTTTTATTTAGTCTGTTTTATGTGTAACTAAAACTAACTTCGAGAAATATCGGAAAATATTACTACTTGACATATTATTTTTATTTAATGTTAACAGTTAATTGATCATTGAATAGTAGTCAGTACTATATTTGTTTAGTCTTTTATAGCTAAACAAATCCTATTAATCAAGTTGTAGCCATTAATCTAACTGGCTCGACATTATATGCACTATTTTGAAGTATCAGCTGAAAGAATATTTCGTTTTTTTATGGCTGACCTCATCTACCTTACATTTACTTAATGTTTCATTAATTAAACTGATCTATTTTAAAGTGACTTGCTATAAAAGAATAAATATTCAACTTATTTGAAAAAATATATTACTTGATTTGTCATACTAACTAAGCAATTGTTGTGAATGAATTAACTCAAAAAGTTTAGAATGCCTAATAATGCTTGGTTTCTGCTGTGAAACAGTTATGAAATAAACAAGTAGAATGGTTTAGGTAATTCATTATTTGACATCAACATATGAATGATTGATAACAAATGACTGTACAATACCAGATTAGCAAAATTTTCTGTCAACAGTTTGAGCTGTTATGAAGTCTAGAACAATGGTTTATTAATAAATAATAATTGGATTACGTCTGATTATAATGAAATTCAGATTTGTAGATTGAGGATAGAAAACCGACGGCTTGTTCTAGTCTTCTTCTAGTAAGCTTTTGTGAGTGTCTAATCTTCTGCTGAATGAGTAACTTAAAAGTGTGGATACTACTATTCCCAGTAGTAGGTTCCGAAAGTTTATGACTCAGTGGAAAAATCAGTATACTATGGGTAGTTGGTTCATTCTTGGTTTTTGAACTCACCTGCTTTATCTTCTGAGCTGTCCTGACCTACTAGGAAGAAGAAGAGAGGATGTACTAAGTTCAAAATCATTTTCAAATATTCTGTATTATCTAAATCAGATCATTTATTATTCTAGAGTAAGACAGAGTAAAGAGATATAACTTCTCAGGTCGCCCTGTGTACGATATGGTCCGAAACTGTCACACAATATAATCCTGTTCAGTCACGGTAAAGTTATGAATTTTAAACAAGTGTATTTCAGTTTTTGATAATATCGGTAAAGAGACTTTGATGACAGAATTTCTCAAAATTTTCCTGTTGTTATCTTTGTTTTAAACGATTTATTTTTAAAAAATGGAATTGATTGAATGATCCAATCTGTGTTTTTTAATCACACTTTTTGAAGTGTCAGTTAAAATTGTTTTCATATACACATGTAGTTAATTCATATCAGAAGGGTTTTTGTGGATATTATAGTAACTTCAATGTTTGAGATCATGAGTCAATTGAAGTTAAACCACCATGGACAACATGGAAGCACTGGAGGACCGTTTCGTCCCATTGTGGGACTCCTCAGCAGTGCGCATCTGCGATCCCACCTTGCAAGATTCGAACCCAGGAGCTACCATTTAGTTAAAACAAAATATACATCTCTACTTTAGTTAAACTTATGTAATGACCCATTAATTTACATACTAGTTTATTAATTGGTGAATACTAGTACCATGACTCTTGGCTAGAATAAATTAGCGATGAATACTTCTTATATTTCTAAAACAATATTTATTCACAATAAATGGTTAAACAGAACATGGGTAAGTAGTATGACATTTTTAATGTCATAAGGGCGGCCTGCTTGAGCATTTGGGCTACCTGTTCCTGCCATCTAGATATTTCAACAAGTTATCTATTTTTGTTTGTTTTAATGTATCGTTATGTCTATTAATCGCATAACCTATTCTGCTGCGTTTCTGAAAAGTGCACAACCTTTCGTTATCAAAGTTACAAAAAACCCAATAAGAGACAATGTGGTTGCTGGCAATATACAACGAAAAGAATGCACATTATTCAGATGTTCATTTACTGGACTGTTAACATCTCACTGGCGATCACTCAATATTTATCGCCAGGACCGACCAAGAAGAAAGAAACGGAAACTTGTTAAAATACTTTACGCTGAAAATTCTATATTGTACCAAAAATGTAATATTGAATAAAGCTAATAATAATAATAATATAAACCAGGTATATATTGTTATTATAAGAGTAAACATGAATTGAAAATTGAAAACATTGTTTACTCATCTGATAAAGCATCATGACAACAAACAAATTCGACGTGAACTAATAAAATCTAATTAAAATGAGTATGAACAAATCTGTTGTGATGTTTTTCATATATATAAGAGGAACATTATTGAAGTAAACCAATTCCAAGTTACTGTTCAATAAACTAAGCAACGTATACTGAGCAGATTCGGATGGGTATCTAATTACAACTACGAAATTTAGTTGGTAACTCATAAACACTACCTACAACGTCGTAATACAGCAAGCCTATGATATTGAAGTCACACAGAATACACAACATCGTCATTGAGTTGGTATTTCAAAATTTAATGTCATTCATTCAACATTTTTAGCTAAGAATTGTCCCACTTTTGATTTGATTAAGCTCATATTAAATTAATTGTTCTGCATTTTCATACTATTTCCCATGATACCATTTTCAGTGCTGATGAACGTTTAAAAGAGAAACGTGATGTTATGTTAAATGTTGATTATATGGGTCGAGTATTTTGGAGTCCACCAGCTATATTTAAATCAAATTGTCCAATTGATATAAAGAATTTTCCATTTGATTATCAACATTGTTTCTTAAAATTTGCATCATGGACATATAACAGTGAACAATTAGATTTACAATTTTTAGACAATCGTACTGAAGTTGATATAGATCAGTATACGTCAAGTAATGAATGGTCACTTGTGGCTAGACCAGCATATCGATTTGTTATGTTATCTGATGAGTGCGGTAAAGAAATACCAGATTTAACATTTTTCTTATTGTAAGTTATAATTGTTGAGTATTTATTATATGTATATATATATATATATATATATATATATATATATATATATATATATATATATATATATATATATATATATATATGTATATATATATATTAAGTGAACATTTCTAGCTTTTATATCTTAATCTGTCATTGATTAAATCAGTTTCTTAAAATATGAATAATTATTACATTTCAGTAGTAAAATACCGACGAATTTTGATTCAAAAATACTGAATACAGCGTGATTTTGTAACACACTAGTCTGGTGGAAAAGTGATTACCATGAGATCTAAAGGTTAATGGTTCAGTTCATTGTAATGTGAAAAGCGAGCAGTACCTGATGATTCTCCATACTCTGACAAAAGCGTTATTCAATGCTACCTCTTCCTTAGTAGTACTTTGAATGCCATCGGTCCGTGATGGAAACCACCTACAAATTATGGAACTTTAGAAAAAGCTAATTTTTAGACTCGTAAATAATATTATGAAGATCACTAAAAGTCTACACTTTTTAGCGATGAACGACCCAGAAAATTGTTATTATCAAGTCATTGATGACATATAATCATTCTGTTTGTGTTGTTATTCTCCATATAAGCGTGATAGAATATGTTTGTTGTTCAAGACCAGAATTTTAGAGGTGTGGTGGTCTGTGAACTGGATGGTTTTTTCGTATTGTTTTCATAGCTCCTCTCAAAGCATCATAGGTACATACTTCAAAAACATCATCCATTATTGTTTTTTTCACCTGAAATTCGGACGGTCATTCTCCATAACTGTGTTACCTTTTTGGTTTAGAGACTTCAGGTAAAAATTTATTATTCCGACAAAAGTGCCTTTGATAATTAGTGGTCTGAGTAAATACTTCCATCTCATTCAATTGCGTTGCATCACTGTATTTATATATTGACCAAAAATCTATCAATTTGCGTTAGCAATTATAAACATCGTTCTCTTATCAAACCTTTCTACATAATATATGTAAGTCTAATTATGTGAACCATAACAAAGAATCACGGCTAATTAAACAACATGGACTATCATGATCGCTGTGTTTAATTTCAGTTTGTTTTTACATTGGTAAACTAATTTACTAAACCAACTGAAAAATTCATGTAATGGTACATTGATAATACAATTGGAACAGTTATCATGATGTATATATTTATACCAAAATAAAGCATTAAAAATGTTGATCAGTTTGCATGAACATTTAAGAGTATCACTGTTAAGTTTTGTCAATAGGCTGCTTATAAACAAACAACATATTATCAATACATGATATTTACAACTTCAACCTTATTTAGTTTCTTATCATCACCTCACGTATAAGTATAAGGAGACACACAATAATTAGGAAATCTGTAAACTTGGACAAATAACCTTAATGAATGAAACAATATATGAGGGTTTCACAAACAAACTTCTTTATTATCATAAAACTTAAAGTGAACATTTAAAATTAGTCTGGTCATAAGAAAATGCTTGAAACGCAACAAAAACAGTTATGTAATAAAAACACAATTGCTCCTGTAGAGCAAGGTATATTGACAGATGTTCTAGGAATTTGTACATTCGAGCTCGTGAGCACCTCCTCGTATGGTTAAGCAAAGGTGTAGTCAAAACTGTTAACAGCTCTATCATAGACCATCTAGTTCAGACAGCCGACATGGAGAAATCTTTTGCAATAATCTATCGTGTTAATTCCGTCTGACTGCGAATCACACAGACGGCTGAAGCAATTATTATTCGGATCAAAAAGTCATAACTTTACATCCAAAAGAAGTATGTTCAGCAACTCCTTTTACCCTGGCCAACTCTGGGGCCAACTAGCTAATAATCAATCTTATAATGTGGTGACGTAATCTGATTAATGTTCATTTTATGTCCCAAACTTATTGTTATTACTGTTATTATTATTATTATTGTCTTTACACTTGATAACCCTGTTTTGAGGAATTTATTCAATATCCACCCCTAAATCTACTATATCTGATCTAATTCATATTATTCTACATATTACGTAATTTCCGATTTTTATTCCATTATTTTTTCTCTCACTCCATGTTGACCATATTTATTGTGTTCATTTATCGCACAATTTCATTTCACTTATAAACTGATTCAATTTAATGATTGAGATCATGAACCAATTGATGTTAGGCCATCACAATTGAAAACCTGGAAGCACTGGACGGCCGTTTCGTCCCATTGTGGGACTCCTTGTCGGGTAGAGACAGTTATCTACCTCAGTACAATGGAAGTTGGTCGCGCAATTTCGTGGATTGGTTGATGTTAGAAACTATCACCATTGGATGCCGGCTCAGTGGTCCAATTGGTTAAGCGTTCGCGCGCGAGACCGGAGGCCCTGGGTTTGAATCCTGCTGGCGGGATCGTGGATGCGCACTGCTGAGGAGTCCCACAATAGGACGGAACGGCCGTCCAGTGCTTCCAGGATTTCAATTGTGATGGTCTAACATCAATTGGTTCATGATCTCAATCAAAAACTTAATAATCTCCACAACTCTTATACTAGTGATTCAAGTTAACACTTTATAATATTAGTCATCCCCAACATTAACGATCTTAATTGGTTTTATATAACAAACAACCATTCTTAATTCACCTATTACAATTTCCAAATAATGTACTCCACCTTAAATTTGGCCAATATAATGGATTATTAATTTGGATATGTGATAATTATAGAACTGGATGAGAAATTATTGAAAAGAATATTCTTCGGTCATACAATTGTGTTTTAATATAATGGGAGAGTTATGTAATAACTAATTTATAAAAATATAATCGATTATCAAGTATCTAATTTTCTTGATGATTTGTACAAAGTTACTGCATTAAATTTTATCATATTCTCAATATTTGAAAAATTATTGAATATTTAAATTTATTATTCAAAATAACTAATTTTATTGATTTATGTCGATTATCATTTATATTTTTCAAATTTCGCGCATTCAAAAATTGTCAATCTTTTTTACCATTTTAACTTAAATAAACAATCACTTCATTCAAACATAATATATCCATGGTTAAAATAATAAAACAAAAGGGAAACAAAATTTTTTTTATTTGTTTCATACAAACGATAGAGAACAATTTTGAAGAAAAAAAAGAATAAAACTAAAAATAAACCACTTACAAAAGCTGAGGAAGATTAGCTTGTAAACATTTCTTATCAACATAATTATTAGCATTTTTTTCTTTTTTTTGTTCACGGTTACTATGAAATCTTTGTTAAACAAATAGAAAAAATAAGATCGCAAAAATAAGAAAAAAAGAAAAAAAGAAAGAAACAAAAGAAAGAAAAATAACTGAATAAAATTGAGTTTTTGTTATTGTCTATTGAACAACTTAAAGAAATTGAACAATTTTGAAGTAAAACTCTTTTCTTTTTTTTTGAATTTTTTTCAAACAAGAAAAAAAAGTAGATGAAGTTAAAAGTAGTTGTATAGAATGTTTTAGAAAAAGAAAAAGAAACATACACAATGTTTTTAATTTATGTGATAATGTAATCAGGACTTAGATTTCATTATTATGCATAGAAACAAATTTATTATTTTATTCCATTTTGTTTTCTTATTTTTCATTACTGAAATCTTTTAGATTTACTCTATTTTAAATTGTAAATTATATCATGAACTGATTGTAGTTAGACAACCAGTTAAAACTAAAAATTATTGAATAGTTGTTTAACTTTAGTAATATAATATTGCAAGAGTGTACATCTACAGTATTAAAAAAATAGTTATGTACTATTGTGAATTGATTAGAATTAAACATGTGGACTATTGGAGTTTGACTCAGTAGTCTTTGCAGATGATCTAGCCCTCCTATCGCATACACACGAACAGATGCAGACAAAGATAGCCAGTGTGGTAGCAGTCTCTGCATCAGTAGGCCTCAGTATACACAAAGAAAAAACCAAGGTCCTCAAATTCAAAGCGGAGAACAGCAATCCAATCACTGTTGATGGCGAAACTCTGGAAGATGTAGAATCCTTCACATATCTAGGAAGCATCATCGATTAACAAGGAGGATCAGATGCGGACGTAAAGGCAAATCAAGTGTCGCATTCCTACAATTGAAGAACATATGGAACTCAAAACAACTTTCAACCAATATCAAAGTGAGAATCTTCAATACCAACGTCATGGCAGTTTTAAGGTATGGAGCTGAAACTTGGAGAACTACAACAACCACCATCAATAAGGTACAAGTATTTATGAATAGCTGTCTTCGCAAGATACTCAACATTTATTGGCTGGATACCATCAGCAACAGCCTTTTGTGGGAGAGAACAAATCAGCTTCCAGCTGAAGAAGAAATTAAGAAAAGACGATGGAAATGGATAGAACATATATTACGCAAATCATCAAACTGCATCAAAAGACAAGCCCTAACTTGGAATCCTGAAGGGAAACAGAAAAGAGAAAGGCCTAAGAACACATTACGTTGGATAATGGAAGCAGATGTGAAAAGGATGAATAGGAACTGGAAGGAGCTGGAAAGGATTGCCCAGGACAGGGTTGGATGGAGAATACTGGTGGGCGGCCTATGCTCCTTCACAAGGAGTAACAGACGTAAATAAGTAAGTATGTAAGTAAGTAAGTAAGTAAGTCTAAAATTTTGAATATTTTTTTGATAATTTGAAGATTGTGTGTTTGTAGTCAACAAGAACACGACTGGGGACAATCGAATGTATTCAGCACATAAATTACAGAGTTACTCAGTAAAAAAGAAAAACTTATTAGTAAATCGTTAATATGCAAAATATCATTCCATCATTTCAAACCGGACTGTTGCAATCATCAATCCATTGTTTCACATTTCATTGTTCATGCGTTTTCTTACAAATTGCATTGTGTTCCCGCTCTTTCTTTCTTGATCTTCCCTCATCTTCTGCTGCCAGACATTACGTTCTTTAACTCGCGTCATATAATACTTATATCAATATAAGTAGCACACACCACATGTTCAGTTACTGATAGTGTCATGAATACATACATACTTAAGAATTTCATATTAATATAAAACAGCTGTCTAGTACTTGCCAGTTTTTAATAGCTGTCTAATTATATAATTCATCAATATTTTTGTTTCAATTGTTTCCATCTCTAATTATTAAGTAATTTATTGAGTACAACGATTTTGTCAAAAATTTATCGTTGTAACTAGAAAATCAAACGAAGTAAATTATAGTTACTAAGATCTTTTGTGAAGTAAAAATTAGAATTCTAAGTAACATTTATTAAAATATTAACATTTATCTCATAAACATTGGAATTATTGTTGCTTCTTTGCTAACAATTTCCTTCATTTTTCAGCTAAATACATTTTTGATCAAACAACCTATTCAATTAACTAATCATAATTTGTTACTGTCTGAATAACGCTATTTTCAATATTTTAGTTAAATGATCTTTATTCTTTAATTTAGCAATGCTGTTGAATCTTTTTAAATAGTTTTGTATAACTTCTGAAATAACTAATGACAATATTTAATATATAAAATCAGTGAAAGATAGACGGGGTTGAGTGGTTGTCTTAATTCAGTTTTGAACTGTTAAGTGAAATATATACACAAGATCGTAATAATCACTTTCGTACTCTGTGAAGATGATGGTATTATTTAGACAGTTATCTGGTATCCAATGGATTGCATTTTTCAATTGCCATCGTTTAGCTACAATTCATAAATCACTGGATATATTCTACCCTAACATTAACTATCATGGCCTTTCCCTGGAACATAGGAAGATTATTTATTTAGAGAGCACATACTTTAACGTCTTGAGATTATATCTTATTAGGAAATGATATATTGATTTGCGATCTGTTTTTTTTTATTTCCCTCAATCCACCTTTTCCACAATTAATTTAGATGCATTTCAGCATAAATCATCACATATTTTACATATTATCGATCTCATAGAAGAATATATCAGTCATTTTCACTAACAAAACACTTCAACTGATTGCTTCAAATCAAAAAAACATTTATCATTGATCGATTTTAGCTGAGAAATATCTGTAAACCAGGAAGAACAACTTTTTAAATCTGTCAACTTATCATATATTTTATGAATGGAATGTTTTCTTTAGGTTCCGTTGTGGGAGGAGTGAACGAATATGTTACCTTTACGCCATTAAATAGTGATCGAATTGTTCATATTTCACTCGTTTCTAGGTACAACACAATTACTATCAAATATTAGTGATTAAATTTGTCCCACAACCATAAAATATTGTACAAATTACTTATTATCTATTATTAAAAAACTTTCTTTATTGATATGAATGAATTAACAATGAATTTGGTTATTGAAAATTAATACAAATTAATGTGCTTTCTGTTTTTGAACTCTGTTAAAACAATTGTTTACATTGATTTAAATATCAAATAATGTTTATCTATACATACATATATATATATTATTTAAGTAGCATAAACAATGAGACCGTGGATGCACACTGCCGAGGAGTCGCATACTAGGACGAAACAACCGTCCAATGCTTCTAGGTTTTCTAGGGTCGTCTACCTTTAATTGACTCATTAATTCAACTATTTAATTATATATATATATATATATATATATATATATATATATATATATATATATATATATATATATATATATATATTTAAACCAACGCAATTGAAACCAGCTGATTTTAAATGTTTAATTTAAATTATTTACACAAAGGTACTAGAAGTACATTATTCATCTTTAAATCGTGGCAAAAACTCACTTAAATGTACTAAGTAGATTTTTTGTAAAGTTCAAATATTCATTTGACAAATGGATGGGTTTTTTTTTACAATCTAACAAATTATCTAATGAATAATAATAACAAACCAAGAAACATTCTTGTGTGAAAACCGTCTCAACAAACCATTCAGATAAGAGATTGTTTAAATATGAACAGAACTACTGCTATTTTTATTTGTTTACAAATTTAAAAGTATGAAAAACACATAATTATACTTTGGTTTTTGTAATTACCATTTATTATTATTATTATTATTATTAGCTTAAAACGTAATCCTGCTTTCTATGGATATTTATTAGTGTTTCCATGTGTATTACTAAGTGTGATTACAACAGTGATATTTTGGTTGCCACCACAAATACCAGCAAAAATGATACTTAGTAAGTGTATATAATTTTAATTATAATTTTATATTATTACATCATTATTCTCTGTTTTGTTTGCTTTCATAATATCGTAATCAGTATATAAATTTGATAAAATGAAAATATTTATCGAAATTAAGCAATCAATGTAAATTTTTTTAAAAATGATATCAACTATTCACTACAGTTAAGTTAATTATCATTGTTTAAAATCTAATTAAAGAGTATATATATATATATCAGTATGGGGTTGTGGAGATTGTTCAGTTTTGATTGAAATCATTAATCGATCCATGTCAAACCACCATTGAAAACCTGGGAGCAGTAAACGCCTATTTCGCCCTAGTATGAGACTCCTTAACAATGCACGTCTACGATCCTGCACGCAGGATTCGAACCCAGAACCCTCGGCCCTCTGAACCTCTAGACCATTGAGGTAGGATTCAACGGAGCGAGATTCTAATTTATGGACAAGCCAATCGGAAGTGTTTGAAGAATTATAAGGTCACGAAGCCAAGTTCAACACCTGATGCTCACATACGATCGGTTTGCAGCGGATTTTAGAGAAGAGTTAATTATTGAGAGGCTACAAGAGATGAAATTACTGAGAAGTTCTTGTACGTGTGACTGGGGTTACCCAATGACTGCAGTAAAGTGTGAAGACTACCGTGATGAGATTGCATTCCGTTGTTCTTCATGTTGGAGGAAAACGTCTGCTCGAACGTGGACTTTCTTCGCTCGATCGCGACTAAAACTAAGGCAGATCATGATAATAGTTGCGAATTGGATAATAAAGACACCAGTAATACTGGCTGCGGCATTTGTAGATGTTACTGAAACTTCAGCAGTCCAGTGGTAAGAATATTGCCGTGACATATGTGCAATTAAAATGACACGTCCATATCAATCATTCGGAGGAGTAAGATGTATTGTGGAGATAGATGAAACAGTGGTGATAAAGCGAAAATACAACAGAGAACGTAGTATCAAGGAAGACTGGGTAAGTAGCACTTCCGTAAATATACTTGACAGGTACTTGGAATTTATGATCGATCAACGCAAAAGGGACATTTTCAGAGGGTCAGAAACGGGCAAGCAAGCACAGTAATACCAATTATACAGGAATACGTGCAAGCAGGCACTACAGTATACATGGATGATTGGAGAGCTTATAAATGTCTACATAGACTTGGGTATGTGCATCATGTCTTAGTGCACAAGCGCCATTTCGTCGACCCTACAAGAGGCGTTCATACTAATAATATTGAAGCCATGTGGTCCAGACTGATGGAATTTTTAAGACCATACCACGGCTCTAGAGGACGACTATTATGGAGCCATATGGATGAGTTCCTATACCGTATGCATTATGGTTTTAGAACATCTGAACCTTTATCAAACCTTAACAAGTTTTTAAATCCTGTAAAAGAAGAATATCCACTGTAATTCATTAGTTTCTTATAATATATATTTCTGGTTTATACTAACTGTCTACTGATTGGCTAATAATTGTCAAGGTCAATTAAGATTCGTTCAAGGTTCGTCCATAAATTAGAATCTCGCCTTCAACGGTATTAATGTCTAACTTCAACTAATCCATAAAATCGCGCGACCATCTTCCAGAGTCTGAGGTAGAAATATATATATATATATATATATATATATATATATATATATATATATATATATATATATATATATATATATATAAGAAATACATCGTATTTTAGGGAAAACGTTATAGTCATCAGATGGTTTCACTGTTTATCTATCAGTTTAATTCCTCTCATTGAGCTGGAGGTTTTATTGATTGGATAAACTATATTCTTTAGTTTTTTAAGCGAGTATTCAGGTCAATTAATGAATTAATTCTTTAGCTGTTCATCAATATCTACATTAGAATCATATTTTGAATATTTTTACAAAGTCAAAATCAATCAGCTTAATAAGTGTATGATCAAAAACTGATACATAATAAAGTTTTGTGGAGAATTTAGGAAATTTCACAGGTTGAAATCATGAGTCAATTGAAGCTAGACCACCATGGAAAACCTGGAAGCACTGGACGGCCGTTTCGTCCTAGTATGGGACTCAGTGGTCTAATGGTTAAGTGCTCGCGCGCGAAGCCAGTAGGTCCTGGGTTCGAGCTCCGCGTGGTTCGGGATCGTGGATGCGCACTGCTGAGGAGTCCATACTAGGACGAAACGGCTGTCCAGTGCTTCCAGATTTTCCATGGTGGTCTAGCTTCAATTGACTCATGATTTCAACCTGTGACATAATAAAGTGTTTAGTGATTTAGAAATTTATTAATAAAATTTTGATTGAATAATGATTAAATTTAGTTCCGTCATTTTACTATGGTTTGTAATATCCCATCTATATTTCACTGTTTGATAATTAGCTGTATATTCATCAAGTGAATAATTGATTCTCATACTAATTAATCAGAAACTATTTTTCTTTAATTTTCATTAATTCAGTACCTTTTCAATCGTTCTAATATTTCTTTCTTGATATTTAACATTATCAAGCACTTTTTATGACTCAGTATCAACCTATTTTTTACAATAAAATCTTTTGATGATAATGATATATTTATTCAGTATAATAATATTAAACAGAATATGGGATTTTTATCCCAACAAGCTGCGCTTATTCTTCAGAGGGATTACTACATATACATTCAGAGAGAGAGCGAAATTGAATGATCTTTACAATGATAAGTAACATATTTACGTATTTCATAATATATGTATTCAATACAACATTGTAGAGTTTTGTGTGCATCGATCCTAATGTACTTAGATCTTGGTCTACCAGAAGTTATACAACAGAAAATACATATATGAAATTGTTATTTTGAATTTCATAAAAAATCACACTAGCTATTTCAAGTTTTTCGTATGTCTGTTTGTAACTGTACTTGTAATAAATTCAAAAGATTCACCACACACTTTATATGTAGCCGTCAATACTCTACTTAACACCGTACAATATTTTCTCAGAAATTCAAGAGAAAATGAAGGAGAACATTATAAGATAGTGGGTAATAAATAGGTTACACAAAAAATTGGTAATCAGTTTATGCAATAAGTTTGACTAAAAGCATTCTCTGATATTAACAAATGATGAGAAGATCAAGAGAAATCAGCCAAAACACGATCATCTAGATAAATGACATTTGAAATGGTTTCCATTAAATAATCTCTAACAGTACAAACGTCATGTGGTTCCAGAAATTTTGTTTAGGTCTTTTTCATGTCTTAGGTTAAAGCTAACACTTTACCAATCAGAAGGATTAGGTCCAAACCATTTATAATGAACCATCCCTTAAGGTTTATTTATTTAAATACAATTAGAAGAGGAAGAACCTTATGAACATACAATACAACTATTTGTATACCTTAAAAAAGTTCTTTTTATGGAAGATGGCAAATCATGTGAGAAAAGAGAACAGAAAAGGTGAAATAATAGTTTCTTGAGACATACTAACTTGTGTTAATAATTGAGTGGAACACTTATTTTCATTGTTCTCTTTCAGAACAGTAAAATTACACCCACATGTTCATCCATCTCACGTTATCAATACTAGCTAATTTCTTTATATGTTTGAGGTTTTGGAACAGAATCAAAATAGAAGCGTAGTCTCATGAAGTACATCAAACATACTTATTATCCTTTTCTAAATTGAGGAATTTATTATGGTGCACGATAACTAAGTCATTTAAAGTAATTCTTTCGTATTTGTATTCAAAATGATATTAACTGATGCACTCCTATAATTCATGCTGAAGTGTAAGCAATGACAGTTCATCCATTATATTGAGAAAAACAGAAACTATTGCCAAAAACCTAATTTTAACATTTTTATCGCTAAACAAATTCTTCACCATCAAAATAACTTTTACTAGTAAAGATCATGAATCAATTAAAGCTAGACCATCATGGGAAACCTAGAAGCACTGGATGGACATTTCGCCCTACTATGGGACTCCTCAGCAGTGAGCATCCACAATCCCGACCCCTGCGAGATTCGAACCCAGTATCTTTAAGGAACAAATGGTGTATGAGCCAATTGTTTGTCACCGGCTACCATGGGACTGCATCTCCTTGCGATGCTCCACTGCCTTGTGGGTTAGACCTACAGGTCGAAGGCTCAGGGAGTGGCCCCCTAAGAAGACCACCTGCTTCGGTTTGGGCACCCCAGAAGTATCACAGCCCTCATACATATCGAATGAGATTTGTGTGGCGCATATGTATTTGGTGCCTTCTTGTACCAATATCTATGTGTTAAGATAAATAAATAAATAATGAATAATCCATACTATATGTTGAGCAACTACAAATGCAATTGTAACCTTTTATTTATGAGATTGTTTTTTTGAGACGTTTCTTTGTCAAAGTGTTTCGACATTTTCAATACTTCATAAATTATTGTCTACTAAACCAAACCTTTCTATATTTGATAATGTTCTGTTTTAAAATATATTACTAAAGTTAATTGATATTGATGTGAAATAAAGATTATCTTTCATGAATCGATAATACTAATGCTTATTCAATGGTAAACATGTGATATATAAAGTGTTATATCCCGATAAGTATAACGAATGGTAACTTTGGAGATCCATTTATGCACCAATACTGTGCGTATATTTTTATCCTATAATTGTTACATATCTAAACTGCTCATATTCGTGTCTCTCATATTATAAGCTTTATTTTGACTTAAGAACTATTGTTTTACGAATTACCATTCTTGAATTATGGTTTGTCTATTAATTCACTACCTCCCACAATCACATTTGGCCAAATCTTGTACAAATGTTGTTTCCTATTTTATGTTACGATGTGGTCTGTTTGGTTGGTGTATAAACCCAGTACGTTTGAAATACATGATTCATATTGAAGAGACTGAGATTGGTGTCCTGAACTTAACTGGCCGGACTAGGCAGAAAGTAGAACCTATAAGGACTCTAGAGTGCTCGAACATGTTTATTGAGTCATTGGTCCGATCGATAATTCACTGCTCTTTAATTGGTGGTATCATTACGTTACAAATGAATAGGATACAGAGCACAAGCTATAACATAAAGACAACAAACAATGAATGACTTAGTTACTAATCAATCTGATACTCATTTAGCAACATTTGTTTCAATCTGTAACTTTGATACAATTAAGCGATACACAATCACATATTACCCCTTATCGCATTAACTTTATTTCCATAGATTGAATATATATTAAACTCTATTTCTCATATTTTATTTTGAGTTTATATAAGTTACTTGTAATTAGTGGGAATTTGTTGAAATGAAAATGAATTCATACTACCCAATTTCATTCATTATAATTTCCTATTCACAAAATTTCATAAATCTTATAAGAAAAGTTTAAAAATCAATTGAACATTGAATTTATTCAATATTCAATCAAGAGAAAAAAATTCTTTTACAAATAGTCGTTTCATTTAATAACATTTTTATAATGATTAAGTTTTATTACTATTGCGAACAAAATGATTGAAAATTTTAAAAGAAAAAATAATTCTATCACACATTGAATTTTAATAAATAAGAAACTAATAATCGGAAAATGGGTTTTGTGGAAGTTAAGTGTTCGCGCGTGGAACTGAAAGGATCTGAATTCGGATCTCACGGGGAAGGATCGTGAATGCGCACTGCTGAGGAGTTGCACAGTGAGCCGTCCAGTACTACCAGGTTTTCCATGGTGATCTGGTTTCAACTGACTCATGAACTCAATTAAAAAACGAATAATCATCATAAACTTTAATGATAGAATATTCCTTAGTATTTAGTTATCCATGTTAAGATAGTTTAACAAAACATTATTTAACTGAAAATTTAATTATTCTTGTCACGTGATCACATTTATCTTAAAGAATATTAACACTACAATTATGGTTTGTGCTACTTATGTCGACATAAGTAGTATATAACGCCAATGAAGAATAGAACGCTTAGTAGCCGAAGGTTGAGAAGATCAAAGGGGAAAGGATGGGAACAGCAATTAATCAATATAAAAATGAAAGAACAATGAAATTTGAGACAAATAATGAATATTTCGCAAATGAAGTATTGGAGTATGATTGTTTTCTATTTTATCAAGTAACTCAATAATTTTGTGATAAATATAATCGGTTGCCTTCACCTGTGTTCTCCTTCACTGAAGAATTTATCACATTTAACTTATGAAGAGCGGACAGCTAGAATGCAGCTGGACGATCTAGACTTCGCAGATGATCTATCTCTTCGATCGCACACTCACTAACGAATGAAGGAGAAAACGACCAGTGTAGCAACAGATTCAGCAGTAGTGGGTTTCAACATACAAAAAGGGAAAGCAATATTCTCCGGTATAACACAGCATAAAACAATCGAATCACACTTGACGGAGAAAATTTAGAAAATGTAAAAACCTTTACATATTCGGGCAGCATCATTGATGAACAGGGTGAATCTGATGCAGATGTGAAAGCGCGGATCGGCAAAGCAAGAGCAGCATATTTGCAACTGAAGAATATCTGGAACCCAAAACAACTGTCAACCAACACCAAGGTCAGGATTTTCAATACAAATGTCAAAACAGTTCTACTGTATGGAGCAGAAACCTGGAGAACTACGAAAGCCATCATCCAGAAAATACAGGTGTTTATTAACAGTTGTCTACGCAAAATACTTCAGATCCGTTGGCCGGACACTATTAACAACAACGTACTGTGGGAGAGAATAAACCAGATCCCAGCGGAAGAAGAAATCAGGTAGAAGCGCTGGAAGTGGATAGGACACACATTGAGGAAAGCACCCAACTGCGTCACAAGACAAGCCCTCACACGGAATCCTCAAGGCCTAAGGAGGAGGAGAGGAAGACCAAAGAACACATTACGCCGGAAAATGGAAATAGACATATGAAAAATGAACAAGAATTGGATGGAACTAGGAAAGAAGGTCCAGGACAAGTGGTTTGGTGAATGCTGGTCGGCGGCCTATGCTCCATTATGAGTAACAGGCGTAAGTAAGCAATTAAGAAACTTATGAAAGACATGATTATTTAAACTTAAATTAGTCAACAAATTTTGATAATAAATTTGAATTACAATTTAAAATGACATTTTACAAAACAGTAATAAACAAACCATGAGAAACATAATGATAAACTTAAAACTTTTATCAATAATCAATAAAATGTATATTTATTTTCTTACGTTTCAATAATCATCTATTTAACTGATTAGTAAATTATTGACTTTTATTCAATTTCTTTTAATTCTAACTTATTTATTAACTAAAAAGAAGAAGAAAGAATTTCTAGAGAATAAACTTGTTTATTTGCTTATTTATTTTCTTTATGTTTATTTCTTTTTTTTTCATAATTATTTACATATTATTATCCTTAATTAAAAAAAAAGGTATGAATATATTTGTGGCATTTTCGTTGTTATTAAAAATACTTGCTGTTTCTACACCATCAGCTTCAACAATAGTACCATATTTGGGTAAGATTGTTTTGTTTTTGGTTTTTTTATATGTTATTTTCTTCCATTCACTTTATCTTTACTACTTATTAGTGTATCTGAGTAATAATAGAAATAATTTCAGTAAAATGACTCTTACAATATCCCTAGTTATCTATTCTCATGAAGTATTTATGTTTTTTTTTTCTATAATTTACTTACATCTAAAAAATATTGAATAATGAATTAACGGTATAAATACAGACTAATGATGTCTTCAATGACTTTGTATAAATATTTAAATGAAACAATAGAAAAACTGATATAATCTTGTCAGTTTCTTAAGTATTCTCATTCAGACATTAAAAGTACAAAATGATTGGAAAATTTTTTGTTATAATTTATGTCTTCGTCATGAATTGACACTAATATATAATTTTGTATTTAACTATGGGATTAATACAAATGATTAGTGCAGAGTTTTATGAAGATTGTCGAATTTTATAGTTCATATCACGGATTAACTTTACTAAGATAACGATTAGAAACTAGAAGAAACTGAACCATTATTTTGTCTTGGTATGGAACTCTTCAACGTTATGCACCCACATTTACACTGAGGATCACACTGAGTACTTTTGACTCAGCAGAGAATTATAAACATTTACACTATTGAGACTTTATCAAACTTGAGTAAATATAAGAAATCGCTCAACCATCATCTTGAAAATCCTAGATTCAATCTTCAATGAGATTAGGGCTTTGGATTACCGTAGAGTTTCGTACTAATATGAGACACCCGTCACGTCCTTCCTGGTGTTGAATGATAAATCCTGCGGATTGAACGCTATATCCGTCTCCTAAGCTATTCTGTAATCCCCAAGTTAGAACTATACAGCGACCTGAACACGAGAGAGAAGACTCAAAGTATGCGAGAAGTAGTTTACTCCAAGGTTCATTTTAATACAGAAAATGCAGAATTTTTATAATATTTTAAATGTCCTTGCGTTTCTAGAAGATTCTGGAATGCTACTAAACATAAAAGCAGTGTAGCAGCCAGCCAATCAGAGCCTCTGCATGTGACGTTTTGCTTCCTTGATATTTTTGGCTAAAACTTCAAGTGAACGCTGATTTGATGAAACGCTTCTTAGTATTTCCTAATGCTTGCTTGTCTTTTGCAAGCGATTTTCTAGATCACTGCTACAATGAATTACTGTCTAACTACTATCGACCCGTGCTGTAAATTATAAAATAATATAAAAGAAATATTGGTGCATAACATAACATCATAATGATAATGAAACGGAATTTATAATGTCTCATTATAAGTTCCATTACACAAGAATGAAGTAGAAAAACTGTTTCTGTAAGTCTGAATTTAAGAATCCAATTATTGCTAAAAATAATTACACAACAATACTGATAAAGAATAATGATGTATCTGATGAATACACAGATGGTTAGAGGAAGTTGGCAATTTATTCTTCAATTCTTTTAAATCAATATTGTTCAACCAAAATACGAACAACTGCTCTTCTCAGAACCTTATTTAGATGATAGGTTACTGACCATGTTGTCTTTAAACTATAGCTTCACAAATATAAATAAAAATGATATTACTGGAACAATATTATTACTGAAAGATATTCTTAGAAGTAATAATATGTGAATATCAGTCTATCATCAGTATATCCTAAATTCTTAATTAAAACTAAACGAAATAAGTTAAAATATATGATTCGAAAAAATAGAATGATGAATGAAAGATACTCAGTGTATTTATAGATTAGGAAATTCATTTGTTTCATAATCTCTAAGTAAAAACTAATTAATTACTCATTTGTATTTTACATTCATTATAAATAAATAGAAGTGATTCTATATTATTATATATAAATGATAATTAAATTAGCGTAAGGTGTTGATATTACATAGAATCTGATTGATTTGAATAAAGATACACATGTCAATAATGAACAAAAATAGCAACTAGACTATAAGTATCATGTCGGCCTGAATTCATTTAATAAATAAACTTGATTATTAAGTTTTTGATTGAGATCATGAACCAATTGATGATAGACTACCGTCGGAAGCCTGGAAGCACTGGATGGACGTTTCGTCCTATTGTAGGACTCCTCATCAGTGCGCATCCACAATCCCGCTTGCAAGATTCGAACCCAGGATCCTCAGTCTCGCACGTGAACGCTTAACCTAGTGGATTATGATATGCAGTAATGATGTAATATGTAAAGTATGATTACAATAACATGAAATTCGAGAGAATGTTCTTCAAAAGTTTTGATTACAATGAAATACAGAACAAAAATACTTGTGATTAGTAAGAGAGTATTAATGCTTGAACTATTAACAAATTAATTATAAGCTGACTAATTGAAGTCAAGCACAAGAGAGATGTTAATTGAGATTATATCTTTGTTAAGCAATATACTGAAGATGCCATTTTAGAAAAGAAAAGTACAATTTAATGACTTCACATTCTATTGTTCAAACAATAGATCTCAATCATTAAATATTTCATTTTGATTTCAGTGTTATCATGTATGCTTCAACACTTTAACACAAGACCTGATCATTCATATCTTTTTATTTCAGTCCAACTAACAAGGAATTAGATCGACAAGCATTGAAACTTGGTAATAAACACAAGGTGAACATCAACTCTGAGATGCAGGTTCATCCAGCTGACGAGTCCCAAACAGGACGAAACGCGCGTCCTGGATTCCACTGCTAGCCACTATCCATCTCTGCTTATAACAACAGTATTTAATCGAAATATATATCTATTAAATGGATCATAAGATATTTTATTCTTATTTCCTAATAAAATTAAGGAACTCTTCATTTACTTTCTAAATCTCATTAGTATTTTTTTTCAGCTAACATCTACCTATGATAAAGCTTCACCCTCCTTAAACTTAATTAGTTAAAAAAAAAGATATTAAGTTGTGTTATAAACAATATAGGAACAATAACGGGGCAGATTTGTATGCATATAGCATACAATTCTCTTTGAACTTAACACACAACAATACCGTTATGCACTACCCCATTGCCCATGGCAGATCAGGCAACCTGAAAAACATAAAAACATCATCAGGCCAGGTACCTCATAAACAATATAACATATTTCTTATTAAGAAATTCAAATAAACAATAAGATTTTAAATTAGATATTTACTTATTGAATATTGATTTCTCCCCATTCATCGAATTACACTAGTATTTATGATTGACAGTTATACTAATTCAAAATTTAGAAATTCGGAAGCATATATATATATATATATATATATATATATATATATATATATATTTACTAAATTTAAACAAAATACACTTTAGTAACTAAACCATTATAAATGATACAAATCAGAAAAAGAAAAGGAAAAATGAAATTTTATCTTTGTGAATGGTTAATTATTTCAAGGTAATAATCCAAAAAAAATTTATGAAAATACATTTCGATGTTTGTAATAAATATCTGTAATAGTATTCTACTGATATCTACTAGACTAGATAGATATTACTAATATGTTAATAAATATTGATTAAAATACAATATAAATAGTTAAGATAATGAGTCAATTGAAGCTAGATCACAATGGAAAACCTAGAAGCACCAGACGGCTGTTTCGTCTTATTGTGGGACTTTTCAGCAGTGCGTATCCATGACGGCACCTCGCTGGATTTGAACCCAGGACCTACTGGTCTCGTGCGCGAGCGCTTAACCTCTAAACCACTGAGCCGGCATCCAACGGTGTCAATGTCTAACTTCAACTAATTCACGAAATACAATATTTTTCTTTAAAATAGAAAGTTTGAAACAATGAAGTTATGTAATTCAAAAGAGTGATCATAAATTTGTTTAAGCTAACTGTGATTTAATTATGAAACTATTTGTTTGTTTTTAACAAATTTTATATTGACATATTATAAATTATAAATGGTATTCGAACTATCAAACTTAAGTATTCTTTTCATAGAAAATATGAAGTACATTATAATTATTCTAATAAAAACGGATTATTCACGTTTTTTCAATGTAACTTATTGATCTAACATGTATAGTTGAATATTGAGAATAAGCCTTTTCGTTAATTTCATATGAACTAATTTTATTCATATCATATATATATTTTTAATCCGTTTCTAATCAAATTTAACTAAAGTTGGGTAATGGTTCACAATAGAATTGATAACATTGATTTCGTCTTATTTGAAGCTCTTCAACTAGATACTTCTGAATTTCAGTGTTAATGTTTATGCGGAAATTTAACTCTTTTATTTTTCACATCAAACACTAAAACACTATTCATTGAGCTAATGAGTTCAAATAGTTTTAATTAAATTACATTGTTCTACTTAAAACATAAATATTAGTAACAATCTAGAAATATAATCAAATTCTTCCCCAATATATTAAAAACAAAATACCATTTTCTTAGGAAAATACCACTAAAATTTTAATTTATTTATTCATGCATTACAAATCATCTAAATCAAAGTTAAAATATTATTCTATTTAAATTAAGTAGTATATTAAATCAGTAATTTACTGAACCAACCTAATCCATATACAAATAAAATGCTTCATATATTTTGTAGGTAATTCGAAAAATATTCAAGTAACTAGAAAATTGAAAACTATTCTATTTAATTATATGAACTAAATTAATGTAAATCTGTACACTTAAGTTGGATAAAAAATGAACTAAATTGAACCAAAATGTCATCTTATGATATATGATGCATTACAAATATTGATTTGCTAGTCAAATAAAAAACCAGTAACTAATTGGTCATTTGATCAGTTTGATAAAAATCAAGCTCCGTCCGTTTTTTTTTTTAATATCCAGATTATAAGAAGGTACTTTCTTTTCATGGACTAATTATTGAATAGTGGCTAATGTCATAGTTCTTTACAGCTGATCAATGTCTGTCAAATAAGTTGTAATGTGGCCATTAGTCTAAATGATTCAATATGATGTGCACTATTTTGTGATGTTAGATACTTGGAGGTGATTGGCAGAAAGTCTTGGGTCTATATTTTATGTTATTTGGCACTCATCGGCAAGTCGTATTTGCAATACAAGGTTTCCCGTCGAATACCTATAAACATTCAATTATAAATACTTTGTTACCGAGTATATCATTATAAACCGATTAAAATGTTACTCAAATCACAAAAGTGTTTGTATTAAAAATTTTTACAATTTAAAAATAGTTTTCATCACAAGTTGATGCCAACAACAGTAACTCACGCAAAAGTAGTTTTAATCAAGTACTTACATTGCCTACAGTTAGTATCTGTCTCACAACTCATATATACATCATGTGATACCGGCTCGATGGTCTGGAGGTTAGGCGTTTGCTCGAAAAACTGAGAGTTCCATTTTGATCACGCGCTGTGAGGTCATGGTTACGCATTATTTATAAATCTCTCACTAGGACAAAACAACTATCCAACCCTTCTTGATTTCTAGTGGTCGTCTAGGCAAGATTTGTTAGTCATTGAAACCATGAAAAGACCAATAGTTCATTTGAAATGGTTACTGGATTACTATGTACGATTGTTTAGTTGAATAATTTATGGAGATTAGTTTAAGCTCAAAAGGAACCATCAGTACTTGATTTGAAGGTGTTTGTTAGAATTACTTGACTTTGTAGGTTGTGGTCATCACGTTGGATGACGGTTGTGCAGTTTTGCGAGTTGATTTAAATTGATATTGTATATTAGATGCCAAATCAAAGGTCCTAGTGGTTAAGCGTCTGCCACGAGAACTATAGGTCACGTTTTCAGTCTCTGTATGAGTGAAAATGTAAGAAGTACCATAATAGGATGAGATAGCTCACCAGGTATGTCTGGTTTTTAATGCTATCCAACTGAAGTTAGTCTATAGCAAATACCACCTAACGACTATTAAACTAATTACAACCCATGGTTAAAACTATTTTGACACGAGATATGTTCTTATCTTCTTTATTCTCATATTATTTATTATAACTCTTTGCAGCAACTATTTTTATTCTATTTAGCATTTAATTATAACACTTGTTTATTCTTTCATGTTCACCATTTTAAAGGTAAACGTAGAGAAAAGACACCACTTTCATTGAGATTATGAACCACTATTGAAAACCTGAGGGTACTGGATGGCCTTGTCACTTTATTATAGGACTCCTTAGGAGTGTGCATCAACAATCTCATATGCAGAACTCGAATCTAGGCCCATCAGTCTTGAGCGCGAATTCTTAACCTCTAGACCTCTGAGCCGGAATCCGACGGTGTTAATGTCTAACTTCAGTTAATCCACCGTTTTATGCGACCATCTTTAATGGGTAATTGTCTCAGACCGGCCACGATTGAACTTCATTGCTCATGGCTTCTCAATGAAACTCCTGGAATTACCTCTCTAATCTATTTTCCAGAGATGAAATGATTATGATCGCTATGGAGATTGTTGAGTTTAATTATGTTCATGAACTGATCAATATTAGGCCATGATTGAATTCACTCAAATATAGAGATAGTTGGCCATGAAATATGAATGTATTGATGATAAATTTACACAGTTATCATTCTTATTTTGATTTTGATTTTACATTTTTAGGTTACTTTTATTGTTTAAATATGACATTACTTAGTTTGTCAACATTTGCTTCGACAATTGTTGTACATTTACACTTTCAACGAGTAAAATCAAAACACGTACCACTATGGCTTATAAAGGTGAGTGATATTTTTTGAAAACTCATGTATTCCATTCTCTATGTGTTAGCTTAATAATTATTGTTGCGAAACAATTTGTATGGTAAATTTACAAAATATATTACAAGATGACTGAAAACAGAATTATTTGTCTAGCGGAACATTAAAGGTTTATTTGAGACTGACAAAATATGATATTTCCATAGACAGAAATGTATTTAAAGAATTCCTGATTACTGGATAGTATGAAATATTGTTTTATGAGACCTTTATTCTAAATAGAGTCCTATCGATAAAGCTAAAATGTAGCCACTAGGCTAATCGACTTGAAATTTCAATACAATTTACTGAGTGTTAAATGCTTGTAAGCATAAAATTATAGATAAAGTTTCCATTCTGATTAGTGAATATTGCTAATATTTCTTCGGAATTATGTCGAAATCGATTCTGTTTAACATATTCGAACCTGTTTCACACACTGCCATAGTGAGAGAAGTTCAGTAGGTCCAAACAGTCACTTGATTCCTAAGTATTTATTCACATATTACCCAAAACTCTCAAGAGTGGTGTAAAACGTTTATTTTAACATCTCGAAGTGTAGTTTACATTAATTGAATTCAAAAATACACCAGGGATGGGAAATTGTTCCGTCGTGATTATTTTTGGAGTCCAAAATAATCTGAACTGATTGCTTTCCTATATGTTCAAAGCTGAGTCACATAAAGTTAGATAGAAAACACTACTGTGTTGTACAGATGTTTGAATAGTATTGTAAGTAATCATCAGATTGTTATCCATCAACCTCATTTTGTTGACTCACTAATGTTTACGGAAACAATGTATGAACTATCAGTAATTGCTAATGAACGACTACTGTACTAGTGTAGTGAATGAGAACACAAGTGGGGACAAATCAATGTATTTGAATAAAAAATTACAGAATGTCTTAGTAAAATCTGAGAACCATATAGTAAATACTTCATTTGCACAATGTTATTGATTGTCTCAAAATTGACTGTTCCTTCTGCCAAATGTAAATCAATCATCTCAGACTTCATTGTTTTTTTTTCATTTCCACACTAATCATGCTATGTCCTCGTTCTCTTTCCTTCTATCTTCTTAACGTTCATGCTATGTTTGAAGCATTACGATTATGGAGTCAGACATTTCACTTTCTATTGATGATACACACTACTTATATCTGTCGACATCAGTATTACACACGACATTAGTAAAGTATAATGAAACTAATCTGTAATCAAATGAATAAAATTCTATACCGAGAATATTTTAATTTTAGGCTGAGAAACCGAACATGAACGATAAAGAACTGCTGCCTATATTAAAGTTCCTTTGCATTTCGTCAGTAAATTCTTATTGTAATCAACCTATACACTCATTAGACAGCAATAAACACAAGATTTCTTTAAGATTAATCAAGTTCAACAAAATATTGTCATATTCCTCTATATTTATACAGTTTGTTGTTTTTTATTTCTGTGTCTGTATCCTTCTTCCTAGGTGGTTAGATTTTTTGCTACATTGTTACATGTTTCGAAATTGGAACCACCTGTAGTGGCAGATACCAATCAAAAACTGAGTATTGTTGAAGCACAAATTAAAAATGCCAAGATGAAACAAAGTATAAAATCGGAAAATCTACTTGATACATGGTCATCGAATCAACAATTTCCACCATCTAATCCGCAGTCAAAGTTGATCCATTCTGCTGGTGTAGAAACACAATGGGATGACAATAAGATTTTATCTACTGAAGAGTATCTTTTGAATCCTAACGAATTATCTGTTCTACAAAAGCAACAACTTTCAATGCTATCAGATGGTTCACGGATATCTTATTCCACTGGTGTGAATGGCTGCCAGTTTTCAAGTCATTACTATCCGAACCAAAACTACTTACAACAAAAAAGTTTTCCATGGGGCGATTATGCTATGAATCAGCCAAATGAATCTGGAACAGCTAATATACATGATAAGTTGCTTAAAAAATTCCTACAATCTAAACAACAATCAAGAAGATCTACAATTCAACTTGAGTTCAATTTGGGTGACTTATGTAATGCATTAAAACAATTGATGCTGAAAATTGCTAAAAAAGATGAAATAGCTCAGCGTGATCGCGAATGGCGGTTAGTTCTAATGACGATCGATCGTTTGTTTTGTTGGTTCTACTCCATTGTAGTCATTGTTGCAGGAGTGTACCTATTGTTTCCTAGAGGGCGTTCGCATACAGTCAACGAAATTATAGCAATGCATCAAGAAGCCTATGATATACGAAATCAAGCTGTTGCAAAGCAGTGTATGATGGGATACTCCAAAACAATATAACACTTTGGGTGGAACCTCCCCACTTAACCTTCTCATTGAGACCATCTGGTTTATTCACCTTGTTATTTTTAGTTCGTAATCGTTTACCTTAATATCAATCGTTCAGTATTTAATGGCCTAATTTTAAGGTTAAACAGTGTTCGCGTTATGGATTCATTTTATCCTTCATGTTCTATCATATTGATTACCTGAAGTAGAAACTTTGTTTTAAATCTACTGTACTCAAATATTTCTTCTTTCTAAACGAGGTTATGCATTTCTGATTTTCCATTTTCACTCAGTCATTAACTTAGAAAATATTTATTAATTCAGTTTTTCTATTTTGAAAAAGGTCTAAAAGTATTTAATCCCCTCAAGAACTAGTTTGAACAACGAAACTTCCAATCACTGCAGAAACGAGTATTTGTATGGGTTGAATTTTAAAGGATTACTGACTACATTTATCTGTGTTATATCCTTATGCTATAAACCTGTACTTATTACAAAATAACTAAGTATGGTCTGATACTCTATATCGTAGCGCAATTACCGAGAACATTAGGTGGTTAAAAAATTATTATTAACCTGAATGCTGCAGTGTATATGTTAAAATAAAAGAATTACATCAAATAATTCATGGTCATTCCCAACGCACACATGTACTGTCAACTCTTTTAAATTACTAGTCATTATAAGGTGTTAGTACTTTTCTCAATAGTCGACAATATAACTTCCTAAGCTGTTTAGTTTTCTCCTTAAGTTTAACTGAACAGGTCGTGAGGTCGGTAAATATTTTATTATATCTGAATTTAGCAACTGCCGTAACAAAACTGCAGAACATACAAGTTTAGAAAAGTAGTAGGATGATCCACAAATCCATTCAAACTAAAAGATAGCTTTCTAAGTAAGTGAACAATTTTTATGTATGATACATTCAATAAATGATTTCATATTAAATATTTGCCACAAACAAAATGTAAGCAAACAATATTGTTGCTTAACGATTTCCAATCTTGGAAGAAAACATGTCAATGTTTGTCTAACATAGATAAAACTGGTGACCTTGAAAGGTTGAACATAGTCAATCCCATTGGCTCATCATCCAGAATATTGTCACGGCTGATCATCGCCTTTGTGCAGGGTTTAACTGTGATAGTTCAATGTTTCTATGTTTTATATTACAGAAACCAGATATTCAAACACCCAGTTTCCGCATACATATTCTTTCCGAAGACTTTCGTTTTAGGAAATATCGGTGTGTATATGTAAACCGATCCAAGTTTTTTGTTACCTTAATTATACAAGACGAACTTTCTATTTTCATATCTCTGACTGACAAGTTTATTCTTCGTTGTTGCATAGTGTAATTCGCATATGCATATCAGTTTGCTCAAAATGTGTAGAAACATATCACATCACCGGTTCCAAATAGATGTCCCTTCCTGATATGACGGGAAAAAAAGGCAAAATTACATCCCTAACTTATTGAGATTCTGGTTCAACATTACTCTTAATTTAATTCCATAGGATGAGTACTCAGTATATTATTTGTTTGATGTTTTAGTGTACAACTTAATTTAGGATAACATTGATTTACTTGAGTGTGATGTTACCAGGATATGATATTGCTGTACTAAATTCACGTTAAATATGAAATGTAGCGTGCGATTTTGGTATGATTTCATGTGATGACATTTTAATAAATATTGATCGTCTGTGTGTACAAATCAAGATACAAATGAGTGGATTTTCAATTAGAGTCGTCTTTGTGTTCTCATATTGGGTAAATATCCACTTGTATCAGCCATACTATCCTTACTTCGCGTTGTGAAAATCCTAGCGACTTATTGTCACCAGACTAATAAATACGCCACGTGGGTATAACACTTCCCAACTTTTGTAATTTATTTTGAATTGGGTGCTGAAGTCTGCTGACGGTAGATAACTTGAAAATTCGCTTGTATTTTAGCCAGACAACAAATTAAAAGTCAAAAGATGTGTGGTTTTATGTATTGAAGGTAAACTATTTTCAACTCCCCATACAAAGATCATATAAGGAACAATAATTGTATTTTGCGGTTGTTAGAGATAGATAAAGTTCTTAGACGACCAGAGTTATCCGGCCGTCAAATATAACATGAACAAAGAAAGTTTGACTGGGATCACTGAGTAATTTAAAACTTCTAAGTATGACTGCTTAATGTTCAGCAAAGTACAATACAATGATCTGGTGAACAAGGCATCTTTAATCTTAATTAAATTAAAGTTTTTATTACTTCTCAGTATGTTGCTCCGCACTCTCCCATAAAACAAAAATGATTATACATTACGAAACTGTGGTTAGCTAAGGAACGGAATTCGTTACATGTAAACTTCTGCAGTTTTCACTAGTGTCAGCGTAAGACAAACATTGACAGATTGACATCTATCACTCATATATCTCCAATAGGTTGTGGATGTCAATTTGCACCATTCAACATTTGACAACTTTAAAATATCAGTTTTTCATAGTAGAATAAATTTACCTGCTGGTTTCAAAATACGGAATAGAATTTCTGAAGTTATCTACAAACGATGATCACATGTCTGGTATTTTATGAACCATCCTTTAAGACGTTTTTGACCAACTCACCGATTACTTGAGTTTTTATCAGAAATTATATAGTCTTGTACTACTTTATCAAATTAGTTCTCCATGACGAGTTGAGCGTCACAAAACTCAGTATTTAGATCACTGATATTCCCATCCCTTGTTAACGACCTTCCACTATAGTTTTGATCTTGATTTGGATGATCTCAATATCTTGGTAGAAATATATAATATATATAATATATTCGCACTTCAAGAAAATTTATACAAACCACCTGATTGAACTATCCGGAACCACTTTCATCGCAACAGAATGTTTATGGCGGACAGCAGTGGTACTACATGTATTACGTACTTCTCAGGCGATTATAGAAACACACTTTCCACTACTGAAAAGGACCTAGGCATCACGCTCTGTAGTACTCATGGCTTCTCCCTCTATTTGCATTTCGTGGCCCTATCGTTAACCAAGCTAACATGAGCCTTGAGTAATAAAAAGAAAATTACAGACGCTACAACATTTTAAAATCCAACAAAAGTATCGATACCTCCGATGTTCATCCAAAAGCTTCCTAGTGTTTTTTTACCAAGGTAAACCTTATGATTGTAACATGGTAAGTGGAAATAAATAAGGACCCCAAAAATAAAAATTTTTCTAAAGAACAAGACTTCGAATGGATCTTAGAAGTCTTATCTCCTGATAAAATAAGTTCAGTGCACTTCGTAGGTTGGAAACAAACTCAAAACCCTGAATGTGTGAAAAGACTTCATGGCTATAAATAGTATTACACTCTGGTGAGCTCCAAAAATTTCCAGATATACTTCTGGTTCAGATAGTTCATTACAAGCTTTCAATAATGGTACAGCTTTCAACCATTATGGATTTGTTAGGACTACAAAGATCTATCTCACACTTATTGATAACCTGAGAGACGAGGGAAGGAGATTTTTACCTGAATTCAATTTGGTCTTTTGAAGATACACTACATTCAACGAAACGTGATGTAGCTGATGTTAATGAACCTGTCATGTTAATACTATTGATTCTTTTTGTGACATAAAAAATTAATGGCATTCATTCATCTATTTTCGTTGGTTGTATTCCATTAAGCCCTCTTTGTTATCGTTGATCATTTCGTGTTGATAGTTACGTCACAAAAAGAAAGTTAGTATAGCGAGAGCAGTCTAATAAATACGATTAAATGTAGAATATTTTTGTACATTAATGAAAATTTAAAGTGAATATTGTGATTTACGGCTGTTGTAATTAATTATGCACTGTGCAATTCGGTTATTTTGATATTGCCAGAAGGTGAAAGCTTTATAGAACTCATCTTTTGTTATTTGCTTATCATTCATGTCTAAGCCATCGGTGTCAACTGGTAAAAAGGTAACTTTATAGAGCGTGTTCCGAAAGAAAACCATTGAGAAAGTGATCTCTGGAAGGTAATGTACAGATGGGTTCAGGGAGATGTAGAAAAACCCATGATCTTCAAACTGGTAGTCCGGAATGAGAGGAACGTATAAAATCGAGTCGTGGCCAAGTGAAAATGCCTGACCTAGCTTCGCTAGCTAGAAATCCCTATTAAGGCTGAAATGGTCGAAAGACAACTAATTTTAAGTAATTATCACTATATCACTACACCTCTGTACATTTCTGCATCGTGAAAAACATCTGATATTTGTCGCTACCTTGTTTTTTACATATGCCTGTGAGATACATAACAGATGTTAACTACCTACTTGAAAACGAGTCCCTCAAAATAATCTAAAACTCATTTTGGTGTCTTTAGTTTAAACACATTTTACCGACTAGAGCTACGCAATGAAGCACCAACCGTATGTGACCTTTTTCTTTCATTTAAATCTGAGTAAAATATATACCAAGCGTACGCAAGTCATATGGCTATAATTTTTGGGAAGAATTTGGCTTAATGACATGAAATCTTATTACATCAAGTTAACAGGTATAGCAAAGTGACTATTGTTTCTTATTGTTCAAGCAATAATAGCAGTAAGTGAAGAGAATATAACTGCTGTTTGGGATAGTCTCACACACGTACTCAGTTATGTCCGAAAAACTTGAACTTGGAAAGATGGTGAACAATAGGTCGCTTTAATACATGATCACACTTATTTATGTGCTTGCCAAAGTGATTTTTCATAATCTTATAAGTATTCAATATTTTCATGTTTTGTGCTGCACAGAACGCATGGGTCACTTTCAAATAACAGCCTTTGTAGTCTGGTGAACATTTTGTTTTAGTTTTCTAAACACATTAGTCACCGTTACATCTGACTCCGAAGCACTTTTAAAATGAGAGAAAATGTACTTTACGAACATCCATAATAATCTTAATTAAGATAGAAATGGATGATATTAAATCAGGTTCGTATTTGTACTTTTGCATCTACAATTTTAGCTTTGGAAGTAGAACTGGAAAGACTAAGAAAACTAGTGAGGAAATACCGAACAGAAAGCATTATTTTAGCAAAACCCAGGAAAAGCAAAAGTTTAGAATATAGCGCAGAGCTTAGATCCAGTGAAAATAAAGACGCGTATGAGAGCCACAACGCAGTCAGCTCGTTAAACTGTGAACAACTGTCTTCACCAAATATTCCGAAATCGCGTTGTGTACAGTTTGCTCCAGTGAACAATTGCTGTGAAAGTAAAGATATATTCATTCATCAAAACACATAATTTACAGGTGTTAGTCGTCTTTCAGATTCGGATGAAGTAATACGCAAACCTAACAGACCTTCACAACACCGCACACGTTTTCTTGATCCTCCGACAAATATTGATATGCCATCTAGATATCACCCAGTACCAAAATACTCACCTGAAGAGTACGGTTCTGTATTTCTATGACTTCAATTTAGAGAATCCAAGAGAAATTTTACTTATACTGCCATGGATTTGATAGAAAGGAGGAGATTTCAGGAATCATTTTTACATTTACAGTAAGAGTGTTCTAACCATTTTATTTTTATATGAAGTGAATTTTACCGGAAAAACTATCCACTTGATAGTGAATTGGTAATTGAGTTAAGGTAAGTCACTGTATTAGGTATGT